AAAAGCTTCCCACAAATGTACAGCGCTAATCTGTTTACATTAATGTACACATTATTCTATAAGAAAATACTCGACTGCCCTTTTGACAAATTAATTGCATGCAGGTCTATTCCCTTTAGCCATAGCCATTGTTGATTCGGAGAACACTACAAATTGGACTTGGTTTCTGGGACACCTCGCAAACGTATTAAACGGCCGAAGAGAACTAACATTTTTGTCCGACCGACACGCAGGCCTGCTGGAATCAATCCCAGCCATATTTCCCACAGCACATCACGCATTTTGCTTAGAACATTTGCAACGTAACTTGCAAGACAAATTACGCTACGTCAATAGTTCATACCACGCGTGTTTGTTGTCGAAATTCCGATCTTGTGCGTATGCACCAATAGTTGCTGCATTCAACCAGAAATTGGAGGAGTTCATGAAGGCTAGTCCCAAGGTCGCACTAGCTTTCTTAAAAGATTTACCGCCACAGTACTGGGCAAATGCGCATTTCCGGTACACAGTTACCACTTTTAATTTTACCAAATTTATATTGTGTCATGCTCACATTGCCACCTTGTAGATTTCTGTCCAACAAAGTCACTAACAAAGTCACTGTATCTATTCCGACAGCGGTTCGCGTTATGGCGAAATGAGTTCTAATGCCGTCGAGTCATTTAACTCATGGATACGGGAAGCACGCCACCTCCCAATCACTCAATTGGTTGACAGTATTCGGACCAAGATTATGCGACAGATGTCCAAACGCCGACTCAAGGCGCAATCGTGGCCTGGTGTAGTTTGCCCGAAGATGGAAGATCGGTTAGTTAAAGCATACAACAAAGGCAGATCATGGCTTCTAAGTCAGTCCAACAATGAGATTTTCGAGGTCCACTCTTTCCCATCAGTAATGGTTGATGTGGGAAGGCGTACATGCTCATGTTTCCAGTGGCAAATCAAAGGGTTCCTTTGTGCTCACGCTGTTATTGTTATTCGCAACAGCGGACTCGACCTTTATGATTTAGTCGATCCGTATTACCATGTGTCGGAGTACTGGAATTCTTACGCTTGCAACATACACCCCATACCCACGGTTAAGAAACCACCATTTAGCATTGAAGATTACATCATACAACCACCAGCTGTCAAACGACCACCGGGAAGGCCCAAAAAAAAACGAATGCTTTCAAGGGGGGAAGAAGTTCAACAGATTAGATGCAGCCATTGCCAACGTTTAGGGAACCACAACAGAAAGACGTGCAAAGAACCAATGTAGCATTACATGCAGCCACATATATTTTCAAATACAACATTTTTATAGTCTTTATGTTTTTAATGAGAATAATCGGGTTTGCCACACACTATGGCCCGTAACACTTTTGATGTTTTCAAAATGTTTTCAGCTTCTAACCAACATTTTCTGTTGTTTTTTTAAGATACGTAACATGCAACGCATAAACCTTATTATTATCCTGTTATTACGTTTCACAAGTTGTCGGCTAATTGATTCGCAACATTATAATGTTACATTCACATTTCAAAATCACATTAACACAATCAGCCCACCTAACATCGACAAATAAACGCGCACCCAATAAAATCGACTTGCCCAATAATACCCTGTCCTTTTCATATTGTACCGTCATAGATACAAGATCACAACATACATGAGTTACGCCACCTAAAAATAGTCACACAGTAACCACAACTCAACACAGTCAAACTGCACGTACTAATATCGTTACGTTTCCAAAGAAACGTGGCTACATTCGTCGACATTTTTCCCCAAGTATCATGCACATAATAATAACCGCCAACATACATACACGGCAATAAACACACAAAATTATTTGTCCAACCAAAACTATTTCATTCAAAACCAGTGACAAGCACTGGACAACGACTGTATGTCAACACCAAAAAACATACGTTGAACAACTGCAAAAACCAACACCAAAAACTACTAAAAGTATGTTTCAAACCTAAATAACTACACGGGAATAACAACTTTTCTAACAAAAAATTGTCATATGCACATTTCGCAAAAACATATCTAATTTAATGATAATGCCATCAGCCCAAAACAAGCACCATCAGACATATATACTATATCAACCCTCGCACCGGATCATTGACGAAAGACTTCACCATGTTTGCACGCAACACGCTGCAGTTGGAACCTTGCAGTGTCCGTTCCACATCGCAATGGTGCACGTACTGTCGCATTATGGCACACACAATTATCCCACAGTCAAGCCTGCATTGAACAACATTTACGTTAAATCAGTAAAACTATGCGAAGTACACAACACTACTCACCCACTCACCCATACAATAGGTCACCACTTTCATAACTACCACACTTACGATTCTGCTTTTTGCTGTGGGCACTTACTCACAGCCTCCAGCACATGATCAAAATCAGACTCGATGCTAAGAACATCCATTCCCAACTCAAGCAGCGACTGTTTCATGATGTTCGTCACCCGTTCCTTCTGCCACACATGCAAAAAACATACAACAGTGAACACATAAGTCCCACCCACACATCAACAAACCTTACTTATCAACTTACCAACAAAAGCGCTTCCGTGTAATGCACGTCTACCCTGTCCATACGCTGCCGCATCGGATTGTAATGTTTCCACTCACCGCTCTCAGTATCGTATACGACAAGTGTCCAATGTCCATTATGGCACATCGGAAAATGAATGAACCGACACATGGTACCGGCAGAAATATTCTTCCGCACAAACTTATCAAAGCCTCCCACATCTGCACGTTTCACCATATCCTGCACACATACAATAACCACACCACGTTATAAATAATCACAACATAATCACTTACCACCCACCCACAACAATTCACCAGGCAAACACTACTGAAAAAATATGATTTGTCTACCTGATCATCATTTCCCAACACCTTCAGCTGATCAGTTTTCAACAGCTCCGTATATACATCAATCACCTGCGTTGCACAAAACAACAGCGCCTCAAAAAAATAAAAAAAAAAACAAAAACACCACCACATCGCATGCTGCCACCATTTGCTATATTCATACTCTATAACTAAAAAATGCTAAGTATAAATCATTAAAGATAAAATTGAACGTACATTGCCCCATATACTGCTTTGTCTAACCAGTCCCTTCAAATCTGTAAAGTTTACTGTCACGCCGATAGAACCGTCTGCCCACACAATAGCCCTACAAACAATATGTTTTTAAAATCCATATAGAAGGGTGATGCACACACAGCAATAGAAATAACAAAAGAGAAACAATAAAAAAAACCTTACCCGTCGCCGTTACGATCATACGCTTGTTTGATCTTCGTCTTCTCTTCAAATGTCATCATCTTCCACACGCCTAACCTGTTGTTGATATCAAATCCCGACCATTTTTTCCCTGCTACCTCAACTGCATCCACATCTATAACGGCATTACCACTCACACAGTTCTTCTTTCCCCTAACATTATCACTTTCTGATCCCATCCTTCTATCACGAACCCCTAACAACGGATACTCATAGTCTGCCAACTTCCGCTCCTTTCTGACTTTGCCTTTAATGTTACGTACCAACGAATTTAGCCCGCCCAACCGTGGTACTCCTTCACCCACATATGGCAACACTTCTATTTTCGCATCACACTGCTGGACATCCATTGGATCATGCACCTCCACCTCATTCGGTTCATTGCCTGCCTGCCATGCACAATCATTGACTGCTCGTAACAGTGACACATCACACAAAAACGACCCACCATACCCACTGCACCCCGTGCCACTTCCCCCAGCAACTTGCTTATCTCCAGCGTCACGGAATGCTTGCGTGACAACATGCACGTCACGGTCCTCCAGTTGGTCTTCCAGTAATGAAATTTTTTCCTGCATTTCCTCATTCTCCTTCCTCAACTTTTCAAGCTCCTCATCTTTCATCTTCAAAACACACCCAAAACCACCAACTATGTTCACAGCCTGCAAGTCGCTCTTATTCTTCAACTTAGTAATCTCTTCTTCAAGGAGTGATATCATATTGTCCTTATTTTTGTTCTGCATCTGAAGTGTTGTGATTGCAGTTAACGCTTCTTCTAGTTTAGAATCTACCTGCGTGTAATTTTCATATGCACTAATCGATTCACGCTGTACATCCAGCCTAGCGCCGAGCACACCCACTGAATGATCACGCACATTACCCGCATGACTCTTGCCAATTTTGTTTTTCCCACGTGCCTCAACACTCTCACCCCGCATTCCAACATCAACTATCTCTTTCATTACATTAACTCTGTCAACAAAATCATCTTCACTACCAATATTGTTTGCGCCAATGTCAACAACGTCGGCCACATCTCTGTCAGCCGCTTCGACATCCAATCCCATCATTTCCCGTTCATACTCAAGAGACCTCAGACGATCAGTCTTTACCTGTTCACACAGACAAACACAATGACATTTTAAAATTACAAAGGTCATTATCGGACTACAACTGACAAAGTTCCACAACAACCATATTGGGAACCAACGTCGTGCATACCTGGAACGTTACAACACCAGCAAATTCTACCCCTTGCGCTTTATTCAGCAGTGTTCCAATGCCCCATTTAAGGAACCTTGGAAGCATGTTTTTGGTGTCAGGCTCCACTATTGTAGAATGTTTACACAACCAATACTGCGACACACACATCACAAAATTCAATAATCCAATTAAATGTGCAAATAAACCCAACCACACATATAAGACAATAACCACAAAACATTCAGTCACACACTTACCAGCAACGCAACCACGCAGCCGGTCACCTTCCCCGGCGTTTTATGAAAATCCTTGACTGACCCCATCAACGTTGACAAGATTGCGCCTGTCCAGTCATACATCCGTACGGTATTCAGATTGTTCAAGTACCGAACAAATGTCCAACTTATTGTCTCCCCAGAGTTAGCAAAAAAAAGCTTCCCACAAATGTACAGCGCTAATAATTTCGCAGCGTCTTCCTCATCTTGTTTGCTATGACCACTAACAGCCTCTAAAAATAACGTCTTCACTAGTTTCGATGTTATGCGCGAAGTTTCAGAACACCTACGTTGAATGAAGTCCGATGCTGGTCTTTGTCCAGGTGACAAGTCCATGCGCCTCTTCCCACATTGTAATCCGAAGATTAATCTAATGTCACTGCTACCAAGTTTCACCATTGAACCTCCAATGCTGAATGCATTCTCCCGCTCATTGTATGCCTTTATAATTTTGCATATTAACTCATCATACTTTCGGAATTCGTTATGGATCAACTTGTTGACGTGTATCGCCTCTATCATAACCCAGAATGGTGTTCTTCTCAACTGATTCAAGTGTCCCTCCTGCAGGTTTGCCAAACTCACAAGCTTCACTATCCCTGCAATGTTTGAACGGAAGTTCATCCTCGTGTTGTGTTTAGGCTGGCACCCCGTTACAAGCTTACCCACAGACCGCGCATCTTTACCTTTTCTTATTTTAGCTTGCTTGAATAGGATTCGCCCCTGCATTTTCACTCCAAGGTTGTTTGTATTTGACCCAGTTTGCACCTCAACACGTTTACGTTCACATGAACGTGTCCACGGACTCCTTACCCTATCGCCATCTGCAAGACAAAACCACAAACACATTTACCAACTCACAAAACCAAATACCAACTCACCCACGTACCACATTCAAATGCTGTCCAGTTTACCAACACGCAAACCCACAACCACACAACAACCAAGACACACAATAACAAAAAACACAAAACCAACCAACTACCCAAACCTAATTCCAAAACCAGAAATAAAATGCACAAATTCACACAATCCACACCTGCGTACCAGAACCACAACTATTCCCATTTACTTTCTGCAGCACCAAAAAAAAGTAGGGGTCCCACCTCTACATATGCCGGACAAATCACTAAAAAAATATACCTTTTCCTGTGGTCCCAACTTTTGTTATACAATATATACCACTACATTGACCACAACTGTCAGCCACACAACCATCCAAAAACACACATCATCACAAGCACAACCCACAAACCAACTACGCATAAAAACAAAACACACAACCACCTATCCCACCACAAACCCAAAACCACACGCCCAACATCCACATCGCAAATACCCCCTAAAACAAAACACACACTCAAAAAAACTGCTCGATTAAACATAACCACGACCGACCACACCGGTAATCCGAACGAAAACACCAAATACCAAAGTAAGACATTACCCCACACAAATATTTCAAAACCAATGTTAG